CCCCTCCTTTTGGTGAGCCTTCTGACAAAAGTCCCCAAGGCCTCGAAAAGAATTCTCTCTCGCTGCTTTTTTTTTTGCTTTCTGGACAGGACGGCCTTTCAGCCCTTTTTTATTGTCATTATAGTATTACGGGAAACCCCGTAGCAGCCACATCCGGGGCTAGGTCCCACTTGCACGAATTAAGAGATATTGACCGTAGATAGCAAAGATGAACGGCCGAAATCTCCTAATTTGCGCAAGTGGGACCTTGCCCCCCTGCTCAAGCCTCCAACGAGGGAACATGCGGGAGCTGCACCCACCAGCAGGTGTGATACCTGCTACAGCAGGTGGGCGATACCACCCAGGGGTCAGCCGGTAGCATCAGGACCGAGCTTCTTCGATGGGCCAGTCACTGGGGAGGCGCAGCTACTCTCCCTGCTTTTGAAAAGAAAAAGGATCCCTAGGCTTCTGAAAAAAAAAAAAAAAAAAAAAAAAAAGGATCCAATCTGGGGCACATATACTCATGGCTTCTGAAAAATCTTTGAATTCATGCGCGGCAGACCGGGGACTTCTGAAACTGAAATCTTTGAATGCATGTGCCGCAGACCGGGGAATTTTATTTTTATTTTTTTTTCAAAGGCAGTGAAGCCTTCAGGCTTTGGCCTTCTGTGGCAATGTACAAGCGGCATTTGTTTTTCTTTTTCGGTTTAGTTGAACCCGTGAGATGCCTTGAGGGCCTTAAGGCAAAAGGCTGCAGCCTTTCTGTGGAGGGGAGATGGAGAGCAAGCTAATGTGATCAGCCGAGTGGCCTGGGACTCCATTATCCAGCCAAAGGTGGGAGGAGGCTTAGGGGTTCTAGACCCGGCTACGCAGGTGAAAGCCCTACGAATCAAATGGATTAAGAAACTCATCTTTGCCCCCCAGAGCCCATGGTGTGCCTTAGCCCTGGAGCATCTTGCACGACTAGCCCCAGCCACCCCCCGGACAATCCACCCACTCACCTGGTTAGAAGACCRTTTTTGGACAATCCCGCGTAAACTCCCGGAYGGAAGAGAGGGAGCAGAGGAAGGAGGGGGCCAGCCACTGGACAATTTTTGGCCATCCTTGTTGCAAACCTGGCGCAGTCTCCCGCTTCCAGACAGGACCCAACCCGGCCRGTGGGAGGAAGTCTACCGGCAGCCCCTCTTTGGAAACAGATGGATAATAGACACGGAGGGCCGCGTAAGGATACGTTCAGTCCCGCCATGGAAAAATTGGGTCAAACATGGTATTCTTAGGGTGGGGGATCTCTGGGACACTGACCGACAAACATGGAAGACGGGGGACCAGATGCGGGACATCTTACGGTATTGTCATCGGGTCAAAGAGTCCTTGGAAAACCTCATTGAAGACATTCCGCTGGAATGGTATCGGATCCTCAGGAGAGGCCCTGACTTGAGAGAGGGGGACTGGGTGAGGATCACAGAGACCCCGCACCAGATTGGTGTGATCCACATGGTCTCCCCTCAGATGATCCTGATCGAATATAACACTATCATAAAATTAAACACCCTCCAAACAATAGAGGCACCCCTCGAATGGAAGAGTAAAACAACAGTTAACAGGGTGAGAGTCCTGGAAGAAAAGGGACAGAGGGTGGCCTTCCAGCCAGACATACCAATCCAGGACCTGCCCATGGACTCAGCAGAGTGGGTATGGCAGCCCTCCCGACGGAGGGCCCCCCCCGGAGCAAGTCACATTAGTCTGCACTTCCTGACGGTCAAATCAGCCTACAAAATGCTCCGACCCAAACGCCAGCTGAGGGATACAATCAATGATAGATGGGCCAGACATTTGAATCTTGACCGCTCTCTCCTTACACCGATTCAATGGTTCAAGGAACACAAGCATAAGCCAATGAAAATTACCTCGCTACAATGGCAGATAGCCCACCGCTGCCTGCCGACGAACGATTGGTTGATTGACCGAACAAACCTTGAACAAAGAGGCCTGCTGCTTCCATGGTGCCAGAGATGCCAGAGCCTCTTCCCCTTCCACAAGAAGACAGAAACCATCGAACATATCTTCATGCAGTGTCCGATCGCCCAGTTCATATGGAGGTGGTGGGACCGAATCTGGAGGAAGATGGAATCGGATATTCCCTAGCCCTGGTCATGGCAAACCATTCTGGCAGGACATTGGCCCCAGGCAGAAACTGCCACGCCCTTCATCGACAACATGTATAGAGTAGGTAGGAGGGCAGTGATGTGGGCACTCTGGTGGCAAAGATGCACCCTAACCATGGAAAAGGTACGGGTAGAGGCCGTGGAGATCATAGAACAAATCCAACAACAATTACACTTAGAACTCACACGTAGGTGGTTAGATACAAAAGAACAACTGGACCTTTTTAAACAAACAAAGGATGTCAGGAGAAAGATAACAGAATTTTGCAAGGACTGGGTAGGTGGGGAAAGGGAAGGTTGGATTGCAAAAGTAGTATGGAGTGGGGATCAAGAGAATGGGGTAAAGGACTTAGAAACAATGAGAGACTACAGGCTGGTTCTCAAGGACTGGACTAACATTGAGGCCTCATTCCCATTACG